CAGCTATGTGATTTTGAGTAAGTCAGTTAATCTCCAGTATCCAGTATTGTGATCAAGGAAAAAAGAATAATTTCGGTCTTGATGACACCTTTAGGTCCTAACATTTCATGTTTGTGACAGATGTGATTCTGATGTCATATTTACCATATACTACGTGTAGTCCTTAAGCTCTTACTTTATTTAGAAAGATAACACCATATGGAGTAAAGAATCACATCTGTTGCTTTCCTCTTTTCAACTGCTCCAAAAATCAGAACAGAAAAATATTAACTGGAAAGGATTCTACATATGTAACAAAGTACTTTTTGTGTTATGCCTATAATTTTGAATGACAATTGTAGTTATTCTAAGCCTTTGATTTCTTATCACATGTAAAAGGCATTTCTCAAAGCTTGTTTATGATTTGTTATACAATGCTCTCCCCGGTTATAAAACCTATTCTCTGATGATTTCACTCATTTAATCTAAAACTACACCAACATCAAGAAGCGGGTATTTGAGAAGAATTGAACTCCTCTGCTCTATGAAGCCAATAGGATTTTACTAAGCAGGCTGAATCTTTATAAATATGCTAGACAGCAATAAGTCATATTTCCAAAGAAGCGATAGTGGGTTTATTAAGGGCACCCTACTGATCTCATAGTTGATATGGGGGACAGCTCAAACTTCTGTTTCCAGAGTCTTAAAAAAGTTATACTGTCTTCTTTCATCTGATCTTAGTGAAAAAGTACAAAGCAGCAGGATTAAGACATTTTGGGTATGCAAAATGTCTGTTGAGTTTCCTGACACTTTTGGACTTGAATAAGTTAGAGAAATGTCTATTGCAAAGAGTTTATCATTCTCTACAGAGCTACTAACAAAGAAGCCCCAAGTTATTGGGATGATATTCAGTGTTCTTCTGTGCCTTGAAACTCACTTCTTGGTCCTCTGCACTCAATTATTCTAACCTCAAGAAAGGTCTATCTAAAGACAAAGTAATGGACAAGTGGCACACTGCAAGGAGCATCCTCATGGACTTGATCATGCGTAAGATTGGTGCGTCAAATATTCATAATGTTTTTAATTGTGCTGTAGTAGAGTGGAATTATACTTTTCTAACAAAAAGTTGTTTTCTATACTTACAAGTGCAGCTTTTTGGTGCATGTTAGTACCATTAAAAATACATTTCAGGACTGGGGGTATAGCTCAGTAATAGTGTGCTTGCCTTGCATGCATGAGGCCTTGGGTTCAATCTAAAATAAATAATTAAATTAAACTAAATTTAAAAAACCTATTTCAGAAATTTTTGCTTTACTTGTGTTATGCCACATATATTCATGCCAGACTATAACCTAAAATTCTCATAATAAAGACTGATTTGCACTTAAAGAAGAAAGATAATGAAAATTTTTATCTTGCCTCCTTTGGCTGAGGCTTCAGTGAACATTTCATTTGATATGAACTACGCTCTCACCAAGATAGAATCTTTGTTGACACATATAACACTTCTCCAAGAAAAGGAGGATACAAAACCAAGAATTCTCAGATAAAATTGCAACTCTCACATGTCAAACAGGTCTATATAAAATATTCACTTCCATGCAACATGGGTTTCCTTTTTAAATTTTTTGTAAACTTTCAAGTATGCAAAGAAACATACACAGAGTCATTTAGTTACCAAGCATGCTGAATTTTCAAAACCACATGAAAGAGATTTCTAGTAATATGGCAGTGGCCCATAATGATCTGGCTGCGGGATACCTTAATAATCAAACGCCGGCGAATAACTCGGGTAGTGACTCTCCGTTCCTCCTCTGAGCTTGAATCACTCTCACTGTCTCTTAAGTCCTGATAAATGCATTTTTAGTATAATTTTACCATCACATTTAAAATAAAAGACACTGCTGAGAAGGGAAATCAAGAAAGAATTATTTACTTGCTGTTCTTCCCCTACTAAGGAATATTATGTATGTTTGTGAGAATACTAAGATAAATTTAAGTAGAAGAAAAATTTTGAGCAGGATTCCAAGCTTGTATATGCGTGTGTATATATATGGACATATACTATAGGTAAAGAGCAAGATAATTAAATTATAATTTATTAAAAATAATTATAGAGCCTTTTGGCTTCTGAAATTAAAAACTATCAGTTTGTAGAAACTTATATTCCCTTTTCAATAGTTTTAAATATACATTTGCCTTGAATGTATTACCTTATATTCTGGGTCACATTTCACTCAGTCTACCAAGTCATTCTGACTCAAATGAAATTTTGGTCAAATTTGACATCTTTATCAACAATTATTTTGAAATTTACATCAGCATAATGTGACACACAAATTTGTATCAGCAGAATATTATCAATACAGGTAATACTAATTTTATGCAATTGAATGAAGGATTGACAACTTAACAATCTGATATGAAATTAGAACTGAGAACACTCAAAGAATATGGAGTAGATAAGAATGTAGTAATTGCACAAAATTTTAGGCAATAAGGGTAGGAATCAGGAAAAACTAAAGTGGCAAATAGTTCATAATTCAAAGGGGAAATATTTTTTGATTTTTGAATAAGGGTCATGGTAAAGAGTATTTATTGAATTTCTAAATTATAATGGTGGAATTCTGGTAATTACCTCAAATCTAGAGATAAGAGTTATAGTTAATATCTATTGGAAAAGTAAGAATGTGTGTAAAAACAGTGGGGGAAAAACACAAAATTGCAAGAGCAAGTATAGGTGTTAGATAAAATAACTTATGAAATGTTAGTTGCATAGATAATAAAGTAAGCCCCTTTTTTCCCCACCAAAGATAAACTTGACAAGTATATTAAATTAATAGCAACATTGATTTTATAGGGCATTTCACCTGAACAAAATATTCCATTGAATAATGTTTTCCAGAGGAAATAGCAGCTAGTATCCTTGTAAGAAATGAAGAATTTGAAAGCCAAGTTCCCTATTATATTTTTAAAATTTCAGCAAGAATTTCAGTTCCAGAATTTGGATGAGGCAAAAGTAAAAAATGATTTTGAATTATTCACAGAAAGAATCTTATTTTGGGAAAAATTTGAGTAAATTAAAAGCAGAAGAACATATTATTGGAAATACCAACAACACACCTAGTTGTCAGTTAGATAATAGTCCTTTTAAGAATCCTGAGACCATGCAAGCCCTTACATAAAGACGACATAAAGAAAAAGTGGCCATTTGGTCAAGTTTCAGTTTCTACTTTTTCACTGTAGTCTGGTAGCCTTAAGGTAAATAGAAGACAGTAGTAGGATTTCAAAGAATTCCTTTAAGAGAATTCCCTAGAAACTGGTAAAGGGGGATATTTTAGTAGTATAAATGGAATTTTCTCAGTATTCCTGAAAATGTGTTGCTGTATAAAAAGAGGGAGAAAATAGACTTTTACCTTGTAACAGCAAGCAGTCATCCGTGTAAGAGCAGCACCGGGACTTTTGACCTGATTTTTTAGGGGATAAAAAGGGGACTGTTTTCTGAGATCATACATCAGATGACCTAGTTGGTTGCTACATACTGTGATAGATCTATGAAAGACATATGATGAACACCTTTGGATTTCTTGTGAGGTCACTCATATCTCCCAAAAGCTTTAACTTCATTATAGATTATTTATGATATCTAGTGTTTAATCATTAGAGTAGGACTGAACCAGCACCAAAGATACAGATTAATTTATAAGCAATCTTGAAAGCATTTTCTAATAAAAATTTGTTTCCATTACTAATGAACCCAACTGAGTTTCCACTTTCAACCTCCTTTTATGCTAATGCTAGTATGGTTTCCCAATGGCCAAGAGATGTGCACACATACACACGTATCAGTGCTTATTTATATCATACAGTAACTTGCAGAATGTCTATGTTGATTTTTAATAGGCTTTTGCATAATATGTCTTTACAGGTAAAAACCAGTTATTGCTTCTCCCTATATTTTGTAGGCTCATCTTAAAAGGGAATAGTCTATCCAAATTCATTCTGCTTAAATATACTGAGTTAATTCAAAGAGAAAAATCAAGATTCCAAACTACACTTATCAAGAAAGAAGTAAAAAGCTGGAGAAACACTCAAACCATAAAGCTTATAACAAGCAGAAAAATAACCAAAAGATAAGTTTACAGAAAGAAAAGGATATGATTTGTTGATAAATTCACAGAGAGTGACTGGGAGTATATGCTGAAGTTTTTCTAAACCTCAAATAAATCGTGAATTCACTGTTAGAAAAGACTTTTTTTTTTTTTGTCAAAGTGTTTATATATCTGTTGCATAGGTGACCAAGATACACAAAAATTGAGAGCATGAAAAGTAGGAAAAATATCTCATTTTCTTATGTCCATCTTGGAGTCGCAATTTCAGCTTAAATGTTTTAATATCAAAAAATGGTCAGCCTCAAAAAATTTTTAAAAATCCATTAGGTGATACCACAAAACATATCAATACAAAGAGCAAGTTTATAATTCTATCACAGAAAGATGATTCTTCTTCTAGTAATTAAAACATTTTTAAGTTGATAACTAACTATAAATTTCTAACTGCTGCCAACCCACCTCATACCGTACCTGGTAATTGCATCTCTTCAATTTTCAAAACGCTTTCAGACAAAAGAACTTATAGAACTCTTAGATGGTTATGATGCTGTATACTCTTTAAATTATGCCCCCAAATCAAAAAGATCAGAATTATCCTTCCGTAAGAGAGAACACTGGGTTTGGAGTTGGAAAACCTAAACCTCCAATAGTATTGGACTTCAAGCTCGTTACTTAATGTCTCCTGAAAAGGGCTAACGAGATGCTTATTTTTTTCTCTACCCAATGAATGAAGGTCTGATCAAATGGCATGTTTTACTCAGCATTTCCTTTACTTCCACCGTTTTTGCCACAACTTTTTATAATTTAGAAATAGAATCTTAAGTCCTGTGCTGTGGGAGTAATCAGAAGAAGCAAAACATCAATACTTTTAATTTTTATGATGACATTCTGGATGACCAGAGGACATACCTTTGGCTCAGACCCACTAGATCCCTCTTCTTCATGGAGGTTAAGCCTTGGCTTGCCATCAGGAGGAGAAGTCCTACTCATCTTTTTTATACTGACAGGCACACAGGGTTTAGGCTCTTCTATTACAAGCTTGCTGGTTTCTTCCAGAGATTTCTGATATGCTGCTAGTGGTGATGTTGGTTCCTCAGCACGACCAGATCCGTGTATTTTGGGTTTCAGAGTTTCCTTAGCACTCTGTTTTCCTAAATCATTTTGGGATTCTGGAAAGTAAGATTTTGTCTTTGCTTCAGGTGTGACTTCTGCATGGGTTCCATTAGCTTCAAATTTTCCAGGTTCTCCTTTGAGATATGAGGTAATGGAATCTCTGCACTGATCAGGGCTGCAAACGATAAAATGTGCAAATTTACAATGGCAACATATGACTTAAGAATGGCTGTTAAAACTTTGGAGCTTCTAAAGTATTTCTGAAGACATGAAAAATCTGGTGACTGAATCTAAACTGAGGGACTTTCCTAGGTGGGTGTATGAGGAAGTATGTATAGGTTCCAGGCATCCCCTACATCACAACTGACTAATCATGCCAGTTTTTTGTTTGTTTGTTAAACCTGATATTAAACCTAGGGTGTTTAACCACATCTCTACCATTTTTATTTTTTGTCTTGAGACACGGTTTTGTTATTTGCTTAGGGCCTCATTAAATTGTGGAGTCTGGGCTTGAACTTGAAATCCTCCTGCCTCAGCCTCCTGAGTTGCTGGGTTGACAGGCATTTGCCACCATGACTGGCCCATGCCAGGTTTTAATTGTAATTCAAGAGCTACTTATATTCTACATCTTAAATTGTTTGTGGATATACTTAAGAGTTCCAATACCAGTAATTAAAAGGGAAGGTTATTTCAAATTCCTATCATATCACAGTCAAAAAACAAAACACAAAACTTCCTGACAAAAGACAAACGATTCTTGAAACTCTAGCATCACAGAACCCCAAATTTTAGCTCTTTGTTTTCAGTTATGAATCCAGCCATCACACTTATTCAATCATAACAGCTTTCCCTGAAACTCATCTTTCTCCACTCTTGACCTTATTGGTGATCAGTGTTGGTGCACTCCCTTTGTTTCTACTTCCTGTGAGAACTGGTTTCTTTTCCAAGACTCACTTTCTTTTAATAGACTTCAAGTTTTTTTTTACTTGTTTCAGTATATTAATGTACACTAGTTTTATGCTAGCTTTAGTATAAACTATATTCACTGTTTTGTAATTTGTATACTGTTTTTCATGTCTTGTCTATAGAAGGCAATGACTAGTGCAGTATTTTATGTATATGTAAAATATGTATAAAAGTGTGTGCGCCTACTTTAAATCAAAATCTGGTTAGCAGAACATTTTTTTTAAAGGACTTTAAAATAGCACACCCCATTTTAGTGTAACAACAATCTCAGCAGACTTTGAAGTAGTATAGGATATTTACTTTTATGACTTAAGCAATGTGGATAGGGGAATAGAAAATTATATTTATCAACTAAATTTCCCTACATATGATTATACCAGAAGTCACTATCATTTTCTTACTTTTATGGAGCAAGATGACTCAGTAATTTTTCAATATAATTCACTGGCAGAGCCTATATTAAATAAAGGATGTTAGCCAGTTAATAATAATGAACACCTTTTCCTATATCTAAATCCGCTTTCTAATATGCAATTACAAATTATATCTGAACACAGACATCAGAGTTACCACTATTTGTCGTCTTTGTAGTAGATTCTTTGGTAGCCTATATAGAGAATTTATTGATGACTTCATTTTGCAAAAGGAGTTCATAAACTTCTCTTTGCAAATTTTATAAAGTCCCTCTTTGGGAATTTTTACTGAGCAAGAGATTTATCAGCAATATGGAAATATTTCACATGGTTATAAAATAATATCAGTTTCTTGAATCCAACCTAAGGCTTTTACTAGCTGCCACTGAAGTAAAAATATTTTAGTCTGACATGTGGGTCAATAAAAATAATGCCACCATTACTAAAAGATTACTATTTGCTCTAGTCATGTTGGAGGTATGATACATGCTTTCTTTTTGAGGGAAGTAGTAGTTTAAAGATGAGCCAAGTAACATTGTTAGAGATTAGAAATTCATCCAGTCACAAAATGTGTACCTAGTAGTGGTGGGATTTGACCAAATGTCTGAGGATCTCTAGACTTCTTATCATTCTAGATCAGGGTCAGTATAAAAATAAACCAGATTCATGTTTAGGGAATTATTTTGGTTATAAATAACAAATGAGAGAGATGGCAATATTTTTGAAGTAGAGAGTTACGTATAGAAAACTGGAAGGACATAAAATGTTAAGTTTTTATTACTATGGCAGGAAAGATACCATTTCTTCTCTGCACTTTCTAAAATGTACATAGAAGATAGGGAATCCATTATTTTGTTTTTCTTTTTTGGTGTCGGTGATTGGTGTTGGTCCTTGCGTATATTAAGCATGTGATCTACATGCTTCTAGCTATGCCTCTAGCATTTTCACCAAAATTTTAATGATGGTTATTGCCGGATGATGGAATCTATTGATTATTACTATGATTTGTACTGGGGAATAAACTACAGGGCACTGTACCACTCAATTACATACTCGGCCCTTTTCCTTTTGAGACACATTCTCACTAAGTTACCCAGGATGGCCTCAAACTTGCAGTCCTCCTGTCTCAGCCTCCTACATTGACGAGACTACAGGCATATGTCACTGTGCCTGGATGTATTTCAATATTTTGTATTTTGAGCATTATATTTGTAGCTCAGAAACAAGAAATGTTTATATTCTTAAAAGATTTGGACTTTCATTTATTAAAGTGTCTTAAACATTAATTACTGGCTATATGAAAAGAATAATACAAGTAAATACTAGAAATGTATAGTTCCCTGCCTCTCTTTATGGTACTGGGGCCTCACATGTGCTAGACATGTGGTACACCATTGAGTTACATCCCCAGCCCCAAAAGTACAGTCTTCTAGAGTAAAGACAACATATAAACCTTTGGGATGTATGTAACATTTTTACTTATTACTTCAGACCATCAATTGTTCTGAGAATTACATTTGAATTTAAACTCACTTTTCCTATCTAGATTAGAATCATGAACCAACCTTTACCAGTCAAGTTCTGGAATATTACTTTAATTTAGAATCATTGCTAAAAAAAACATCTATTTAAAACAAAGCATTCAGAGGTCCCCTGCATTTCAGCTTGCTTTTCCTGAAATAGAGCCATACCTGTCATCCAGTCGATCTAGTAACCCACCAGTTATTCTTCGAGCTTGAGCAGGGGACTCTAGGTTTCCACTTGATGTCTCATTCTGCCAACCTGTAATTGAAGACATTTCCAGTTCTGCTTGCTGAACACGTTTAAGAATAGCCTGTACTTTTTCTTCTGTCATCTCCTCAGACTCTACTCCTTCTTCAAGTTGAATGTCCTCAAATAGAGATTTGAGTTTTTCTTCTGTCATCTCCTCATCAGGACCAGATTTTCCTTTCTCCTGCTGCTCAGAGCGTATGCCTACTTTTCTAGTCTGTTTCAATGGCTCTGCTGGTTTAACATCTTTTGGGACCCCAGCCAAATTTCCGAGGTATTGAGGATACTCACTCAGACACACATCCTCCAACTGGCTCTCATCTACATCCACTGCTTCAGGCATTCCTGTTAAAGGCACTGAGTCTTCCATTTTGCTGTCTTCTAAGGAAGTGTCTTCTGCAGTTACAACTGGAGGTCCATCTGCTGAATGTTCTACGCTTCCCTGAGAAGGCACTAGCCCATCACTCAGTCTACTGGGGGTTCTAAAGGGAGACTCTATGCTAGAGATATCACTAAAATAATCGTCTTGCTGGAAAGGGGTGGGTGGTGTGTAGTGCAACCCTGTGGGGGTTTCCAGTTCCACTTGAAGGGAAGGATAACCTATGGAAGACAGTACATTTGGACTGACTGGAATGAATTAGAAAATACATCAAACAAAACACATGGAATGATTAAAATTATATCAGGTATGAAAATGCACGATGAATCACAGAATAATGTTGATAATTTATTGGTTTAGTTCAGTTAAGTGTAATACAATGAAATAAGACTAGTGTAAACTATAGTAAAATAAAATACTATCAATTATTGCTATCAATTTTGGTAATTTAAATACAGTATCTTAAATATCCAGGCTAATTGAATAAGAAGTTAGTTGTCATTATATAAAACACATTTCATGGCCAAATTTATTATCTTTCTAGTTTTAGCATGCAAAATTCATACTGTGGTAGACTGAATACAGCAAGCCACAAGAAACCAAGTAAATTAATTAAATTTAATCAATTAATTCAAATTATAACTTATTTAAAAAACTGTACATATGAGCAACACAACCCAATTCTTAATTATTGTTTTGTATGAAATTTATAGGAAAGAAATGAATTTAATCTTTGGAAAGAAATAATTATTAGATTTTGGAGCAGTAGCACTGAGTAAAAACCTAAAGTTGTTAGGAAAAGGATGTAAAAAGAAGACAAAGTAGAAAAGACTCCATGTAAAGTTTTCAGGTGTCATAATGTAACAGAAATGAAAGGACTGTGGAATATATGAAGGTCTTGGTGAAGTTGGTGATGGAGTCCACTTAGAACCACGAATTAAAAGGAAAAAAATGACACAAAACAGGAGGAAAATCATTTGCCAAGAGCACTCAGAAAATTCACAACAATGCTACGATATGTGTAGTTTATTAATTAACCTGCTTGTAAAAGGGAAGGAAGGAGCTAATCTCATTTTAAACATTGCTGTATGGACTACAGAAGTCTTTTTCTGCCTTAGAGAGAAAAGTCAACAATGGTCTGGTCATGGTGAGGAAAGGAAGTTTCACAAAAATTCACTAAGAGGAGAGACAGGAATAATTTTCTGAATTATTTGTCTACAAAAATTCCCCAAATCCATATTGTGGTGGACAAAATACAGCAAGCCACAAGAAACCAAATTTTGTAATCCATTACCTATCACATTTAAAAAAGTGTTACATATGAGCAGCTTCCCTATTTGTCCAAGGTAAGTATACACTTAGCTATTATAAATTGAAATTGCTACAAGTAAGTGGACCTTTTTCATTTATGGTCATCTATAAACCAGAGTCTTATAATTAGCTACAGTTTATAATTTGCACAAGTGAAATTTATTTCATTTTGGAATTTCCTTAAGAAATTTAAAAATAAGGAATACAAAATATTAAGTCATAATAATAAAAAAGCCCTTGTGGGTTTATTTTAATGATAACCTGATATTAAAATGTTGAGTTAAATGAAGCTGCTAAGAACACAACACTTACGTTGTATTTTGGTGATCTTTTTTATTATAGATACTTTTATTAGTTTTTTTCCCCCAAAAAAGAATATTAGAATGGTTTATAAGCTAAAACTTGTCAATAAATCAGTTTGCTATAACAATAATTTATATTTGTACAGTGCAAAAATAGTTTGATTAGCAATATATAATGTCTCACATACAAGACAAAGCTTTGGATAGAACCTGCCCCCAAGATTTTATGGAACTTATAAGCTCAAAAAAAACCCCAACACTTTTGATTTTATTATTCACTGTGTTTATATCATGTACTACAGATATGCTTTAAATATTCTCTTGATTTTAACTTTAGTAAGCAAAACTTTCTAAGAACTTGAGCTTTTTCTTCCGTATAATATATGCAGAATTAGAAGTTAATGACCTTTGTTATTCTAACTTTGCCAATTTGAAAAATGAAAATAACCATATTTTTCAGAACTTGGAACAGTATAAAAATATTACTGGATTCTTTTCTTATCTCCACACCATCAACATTTTCTACTCAAAATCCACTGTAGGAAAAAATTTCCATTCATGAAGGTAACACGCGACTATCTTGGAAAACACATAAATTATGATTTTCTTAATACTTTTCTGAAAAAGTCTCAATTTATATAATAAGATGACAAATTACATAAGCTAATGTGAAAAATTAATTATTAGTGATAGCTATGCTCATTATATTAGAAATTATCCTTTTTTTAATACAATATATCAAGTAGGGTTTTTTCCCCAAAGTATTAATGGCAGCATTGAAGTTAAAATAATGCTAAGTAAATAACACTTTGGTACATTAGACTTTTCCAGTACATGCTTAAATATTTGTTCCCAGAACAGTAATTCACATTTTATCTTAACAGTTTGTACTGTATGCTTAAACTAGACTCAATACTTTGCTTTTATGGTAAAAGTTGGAGCATAATGTATTTTACCTATATATGAATAAAAGATCACTAGTTTTTTAGATTAATATAAAAATTAAAATTAAAAACAATGCATTTTGAGGTATTTCTTCTGTTTTTCACATAAATTTTTAAAATAACATTCTTTCAGTTAACTTACACTTTCAAACCTCATTATTTGTTCTGTATATAACATATTTACCTAGTTTGCTCTTTTGTCATAATGCTTATTTGCAGCCTCTGACAGAGAAAATGGTATAAAAATCAGAAATTAAATCAAGCAAATCACAATTTAATTGGTTTTAAGTGAATGCCTTGTCTGACTATACTTTCAATTTTATCAAATGATTAAATAAATATGAACACTAAATTCAATTACCATCAACAGGATCATGGAAAACACTGTTTTCATCTGCAAAACTTCTGGTGCCTGAAATATTTCCATAATCAAATATTGGTCCTTCTAGTAGAGTCACTATATCTATTCGATTAATTTTTGTCAAGACCGAAGTTAAGGCATCAGCTGAAAAGGAGGGGGGAAAAAAAAACCAACAATGAAATTATTTGCTTTGAGTCAGCACAGTATCCACACAAATGCATGGCTTTCGCAGACCTCCTGGCATTTCAGCTTCTTACTCAAGATCTGCAATATCATCCAGAGGGCTTAGAGGGCTTGCTGCTGCAGGAAAGTCGGGATCTTAAGAATCACTTTGTAAAGCTGTGTGTGAAGGCAACAGCATTCATTCCACTGTAACAGAATGGATGGGCCTTAAAATAGCTGGACTTCTTTTAGGTATAAAGGGATCTAACGTCAAACAAGTCCCTTTTCCTTTCAGAATGTCAAAATAGGTCACCCTCATGTTTAATGCTTAGCATTTTAATGAGTTCTGAAAATCAAGTCGACACAGGGAAACCCACAATAACATATTCTATATTGTTGTGGGTTAGCACATGCCAAACTACGGCACCCTGTGCACCCCTTGAGACCCAATAGTATTAGGGAATTCTCTGTTGCCGCACAGAATACAAGTACTTGATCACCTAAGATTCTATCCTCCTCTCCGCACTTCCCTGCACATCTGCCTCTGGCCACAGCAATAACTTCAGAGTGTTTCAGGTGATATTCCCATGATATAGAAGCCATAATTTTTTTTTTTTTTTTGGATGGTCATGGACAGAATAGATAAAATGCAAACAGTTTCCCACTACTTGCTTTCCAAAGGGCTTTACGGTATCAGCACTAAATTAAGCAAGTATAACTTCAAAAGTCTTAGTTTTTTTTTAATCACTCATTTTTCTATATTGCACAAAACAGAGCATTTGCATGAACTAACAGCAGGCTTATCTAAAATGTTGAATATATGCATTTTTGAAAGTTAAAATAATATAATTTTAGCGTACTTGTTGCATTTTTTCCATCTCGGGTAACCCATTTTTTTAATAACATGAAGCTTTGAGAAATTAAAGAATTTGGATTTTCCACACGTATTTGATTGATTTCATCCACTGAAAAATTCAGTTCCCTTGCCAGTTCTGTAAAAAGAAAGAGAGTTATTAAGACTGCATATTCTACTTTTATTATATACATTTTATCAAAGTAATATTCAATTGCTAGCAAGAAAAAGGAAATTCACAGAAAAGCCCACGTACAGCCTTGGGCATTAATCTTCAGATACTTGATTTCACAGGAAACTAGTGATTATAGTCAGGCTGTAACTTAGCTTTCTTTAGGTAATTATTTATAATCAAATACCCTGTAGAGATCATTTTAGAAAGAGTCTCAATTTTTTACAAAGAGGATGTTGCTTGATTCTTTTAATTCAGCCAATTATCTGCCATTTGAACAAATTGCATACAAGATAGGCAGTTTATACAGTTCATACATATGGCACAAGAGCTAGCAGTAAGGTTACCTCAAGCAATCTTCATGAAGTGCACCTTGACCCACATAATATTCCACTCTATAATGCCCTCAAGTTTCAAGAACTCTGCTTCTGCTAAGGAGGTTAAATGATGACTCCAGGAAATTTTATCTTATAGGCAGATACTGGTTTGAAAAATAAAAGGGAGAGAGCTTTCTATCCATATATATATTCATACCCTCAATCCTGGAAATGCAGAGAATGTCTTTTGAGAAGATATATACATTCTGAGTAGTAGTGGCTGCTTTGGAGAATGGGAACTTAGAAAAATTTACTTTTCACGGTATACTTTTGTGTATCTTAAAAAATACTTACCAAGTATGCATTACCTGAAATGATTATTAAAAAGAAATAGAAAAAAATGCTCACATGGAAAGGGATTGATCAATATTCTATTCTTGATAAGAAATATATCTAGCAACTTGTCAAAATGAATTCACAAACTCAAAAGAGCCCTTATCCTTTGATCAAGTGATTCACTTCTAGAAATTTATCCTGAAAATATATTAGAGTTTGTGTAAAATGACTTTTATACCTGACTATTCTTTGCAGAGTTGAACTCTTGAAAAACTGAAAACAATCCACACGAAAACAAAAGGACAAAAGTTAATGTAAGGTAGGCTTGCAAACTGCTGTGACCATAACCTACAGTTAGAAATATACCTGTTTGTATAAATGCCAGATCTCCATGGAGGAAACTTTAGCTGTAATACATGTAATATACAGATAATTTTATATTCCATTTTAAAACAAAAAAGAATAAATTGATTCCTGATTCATTATTATATTGTGACCAACAGAAAAAGATACTCATAAGGTGTATCTTTTGAATATACTAGTTATACATTAAAGCCAAGATCAGAGAATATATTTATTTAGTAGAAAACTATAAAATTTAACTATTTTAAATAAAAAAGTGGATCATTAATGGTGGATTCAAAATACAGATTTAAATTTGTTCTCTGCAGATTATGCTAAGTGAAGCTAGCCAATCCCTAAAAAATAAATGCCAAATGCCTTCTTTGATATAAGGAGAGCAACTAAGAACAGAATAGAGAGGAAGAGCATGAGAAGATCACCACTAAACAGGGAAGAGACGGGGGAGGGAAAGAGAGAGAGAAGGGAAATTGCACGGTAAAGGAAGGAGACTCACTGTTACACAAAATTACATATAAGAGGAAGTGAGGGGAAAGGGGGGAAAAACAAGAGAGAGAAATGAATTACAGTAGATGGGGTAGGGAGAGGGGAGGGGATGGGATGGGAGAGGAGGGGAGGGGAGGGGGGATAGTAGAGGTTAGGAAAGGCAGCAGAATACAACATACACTAGTATGGCAGTAGGTAAAAAAGTGGATGTGTAACCTATGTGAATCTGCATTATGTATATAGCGTAAAAATGGGAGTTCATAATCCGCTTGAATCAAATGTATGAAATATGATATGTCAAGAACTTTGTAATGTTTTGCACTAATAAAAAAAAGAAAAAAGAAAAAAAAATTAATCTACTTGCATTAAGAAGAAAATTCCTTAAACCAATTCAATTGAATAGGGTTTATTTGACCAAAGTAAAACAAAACCCATTCATAAATTGGACAGCTCCCCAAACCAGAGTAGGTTCTAAGAACTCCAAACAAAGATATGATTTGACAGTGCAAGTAGGAAAACAGAATAGAGATGTAGAAAATAACTTAATTGGCTACAGACTAGTCAATCAACTGATTGTAGCTTAACTAGTTAATTTTTTACAGCCTAATCAGCTAATGGATACTGAGTCCTGCAACCAGCCAGATGTGAATTAGTATGATTAAACTCTATATTAGTTTAGTCTTTTGGGCCTAGTGCAAGTGCTCAGTCCAAATCCATGCTCTTCTACAAAATTTTATGTAACACTTATCAAATATCATACAAATAAGAAATGCTGGAACCAAAATCCAAATGCAATGTTATGCTAGAATCCATACTCTTAAGCACTACTTTATACTATCTTTCATATACTAAATTTATATTTACCATTTATATTTAATATACTGTTGCCAAATAAAGGAAAAAATAAACTGCCCCAGATTTCTTCCAAAAAAATAAAATAAAATAAATTTGTTCTCTTAATAAGTCTTAATTTTTCTAATCTTTATTAAGCTTGTAGTAATTCCAATTAGGGAAGCTAATTATAATTTTTTAAGTTTTTTAAGTGATAATACTCCTACTGCCCAACAAGCCCTCAGTACCAAACTGTAGATGTTTTTTGAGACTTTATGAAGAGCAAAGACATCCTGACACTGAGAATTTTAGTTTTATTGCTTTTTATCTATCTTTTCTGATACTGCCATATCTTCTCCACAAATTTACTCTGAAAAACTAAGGACTATACTGGTTTAAAGGAAATCTAATAGTTATGGGCATGTGCTACCATAAAATCAACATTTGCTCCAATATCTTTTCAGATTAATGTTCAATGTTAAAACACAAATATTATTTTCATAATATTTGTTAGCAAATAGTTAAACATAACAGATTACTATTCTCAACCATCTGTAAAAGATCACAAAGACTGGGCTGGGGTGGTGGCTCAGTGGTAGAGTGTTTGCCTACCACATGCGAGGCCCCGGGTTCCATCCTCAGCACCACATAAAAATAAAATAAAGATACTGTGTCCATCTACAACTAAAAATAAATAAATAAAATATATAAAAAAAAGATCACACAGACCACCTCCCTTTTCAGAGCTCTACTAGGCTCCTGATCATCAGCAACATATCTTAGAATAGGATCTAGGAGGCTGAAGAGAGGAGAGTAGATAGTTTGTGGAAGAGTGAGAGTGGGGAAATGGGATAGGAGGCCTTTAAAGTGTGTGTGTAAAATAAACTTGTTCAAATTATCTAGTTTCACATTCTCCCTTTTAATAAATAGTTGTATGGGGCATATGACACTGATAATATACAAGGTTACTTTATGTCAATAACATTTTAACTATTACGTCTTTTGGCTGTGCATTAAAAAAAATAACCTGTAAAACTTAAAATTTCTCAGATTCAGGCGAGGCAGGATTTTAGGGACCTTATAAAGATAGAAACTACAAAGCAGAATGGCCCACCTGACAAACAACCTTATCTTGTCTTTATTGAAGCAAAATGAAGTCAAATATTCCTTTTGGACATGCTAATTGTTAATGGTTTCACAGAACTCAACTCTTGTGAACTGAGTCTACCTACTTACTTAAATCCTTTAAAATTAAAAAAAATAAAAATAAAAATTTAAAGTGGTCTAGGGATGCATCTCAGTGGTAGATCCTATGCTTTTCAGGCCCAAGGCCCGAGGTTCAATCCCCATCATGGCCAAAAAAAATCTAAATTTAAACTTTGTCACTCCTGTTTCCTTGTTTATACAGATGTTACATGCAAATAATCCCATTCCCTACTATGGAAGTAATATAAAGTTTTTATTTTAAATAAATCTTTCAGCATAAAAGTGAATCCACTTAGGGGCTGGGTTTGGCTCAGTGGTAGAGCACTTGCCTATCATGGGTGAGGCACTGGGTTCGATTCTCAGCACCACATATAAATAAGTGAAATAAAGGCCCATCGACAACTAAAGAATATTTTTAAAAAAGACTCAGTTTCTTAATCTATTGAGAGTGTATAATAATAATACTTAGCTCTAAGGATTATTGCATGCATCAATAATTAGAAATTAGTAGTTATGTTCCCCCCTTAGAATAACTATGGGACCATTGTGCATAATATTAATTTAAAAAAAAAGTGAATCCATTTAGACACATCAGGTAAATAAACCTGTAAATTTTATGTATACATCATAAAAATTGTGAAGTTTATCGGGTGTACAAGCTTAGAACACTAGCTACTCAGGAAGCTAAGTTAGGAGAATCCAAGTCTGAGGCCAGCCTGGGAAACTTAGCAAGATCCTGTCTCAATCTCTTTAAAAACAGGCTGGAGATATTTCGATCAGTGGCAGAACACTTGCCTAGTACATGTGAGGCCCTTGGTTCAATGCCTAGTACCTTTTGTAAAGATGACTCATGAATGACTAAAATCAGTGAAATATAGGCATGGGTTAATTTAACTGTTAACCTAAGAAAGCTGTCCCCAAAATGCTATGTTAAAGATTTTGTGTTACTTAAGTCATGGGTATTAACAAATTTATCAGAAGGCATAAAGGAAAGTAGCTATCAGATAAAATACCAGAAATGGCATTGTGAAGAAAAACACTTAAATGTAAGGTAAAATAAGATTTATGTTTCTGTTCCTTGGAAAAATAGTGTACAAAGTACTATTAATAATTATACCTGGATAGACAGAATTATGGATAAAATTTTTTTTTACTGAGGTGTTTGTTTCTTTTTAACAAATACATAATAAAATGCATGTGAATAAAACAAGGAAATTAAGAAACTGTACTTTGTTTCATTCAGGTGTATACACACTTACCAGTCCAACTAAGTCCCAGGTGATCCGCTACTATTGCCATCCTGATATCTGTCCGTTCGCATGGACTCTGTGGACCTACGATTTACAATTTCTTAATTAAAATAATCATCAAGAAAGATACGATACTGGAACATTGCTTTTAGCAGCAGTCAGATTTTACAGAGAGACTAACGCTAACACTGTACACTTAGATGTGTCCTAATCACCTACATGAACACTTCTTTTTACATGGCTCACTTGTTTTTCACCTGTATCAGGCCAAATGTCAAACTACATGGATGCTCAATGTAATGGGGTTGAACATGCTGACAAGCTAGCTACTTTACAACAGTTATAGAATTGTCGTGTTGGTGAAAACACAATGGTATTTCAGTATCTGTGCTTTTACTTTGACAGAATCATATTCATTAGCACATTTAAAAAAAAAAAAGTTGTTCATCTTGAATGACACCAGTATCTTCAGCATGCTTCCCTAGCTGTCTACAGTGTAGTTTGATTAAAAGGAAGAAAGAAGAGTATATAAGACAGCACATACAGATGACAATGACAGAATGAGAAACTACGGTTAAGTCACTCCACAGGCAATCACGACAGTTCATGCACTAGAGTCTACGAGTTGGAAAGTGTTTACAAACTATGCTGGTTCTCCAGGCTGTGAGCAAAGAGTGCTCGAAAAACCTGACTGCCTTCATTCTCACCAGTCCTCCTACTGCTCCTTTTCTCACTGCCGGCCTTTTCACTCTTTGATTTTAAAGGTGCTGCCTCTGTTTTCTTATCTCTAGCAGACTTCGTTGTAACTGAAGACTGGCCACCCCGGGAAGTCTCGGACAACGACGTGTTTCTTGAGGTACTGTCTTCCTCATCGGACAACTCCGACTGCATCTTTTTGTCTTCTTCAGAGAGGCGGTCCACAAGCTTTAAGGTCTCGCCACTAATGCCCTTAAAATATTCAATGGAATGTTTACATACTTCCTGAAGCTGACTTTTCCTAACTTTAACTGTGGTGGTGGTGGAGGTGGTGGTGTTGGTGGTGGTGACACAGGTGGATCTTACCTTTACTGGCAACTTGGATGGAAGCTGTTTGGCCTTGCCTTTCTCTGGCTGCCCTTGCTTTTGTGTGGCACATGCTTTTCTGACTGAAACTAGATTTTCCCTGTGTGTGTTTTTTACTGGAATTCTGGATTTCACATCTACACATGAAGAAGTAGTAAGGGTTTTGGTTTTCTCGGATGGACTAACCTGCTTCATTTTACTTGTTTTACTGTTTGGCATATGGTTTGGTGGGAAGATATCTTTTGGTGAAGTGGCCTTTATGGGAAGTTTGGATTTTCGCCTAATCCCTATCGATTCTTTTGTCTTTTGCTGCTCTCCAAGAACTTTCTGCTTATCTCTGGCACAGTGTCCTTGTAGTACCCCTGTCTTTTTTCCTGATGAGCCTTTCACTGGATTAGCTTTCTCTGTGGTACAAGTGGGTGCAAAATGTTCTGTCAGAACTACATGACTTGTAATGTTATCTGTCTGTATAGTGGAAGAATCCAAATTGTTGTTGTTATTAAAGTTATCTTTTTGAAAATCATGTTTTTCTTGAGGCCTAATGCCCATCTGGCTACTGGCTGTATTTGAAATTACTGTAATTTCATTTTCTAATCCCTGAAAACTGGTCATCACAGCTTCTAGCTTATCTGTCACTTCTCCAGAGCCTTCTTTCTTCATGGTCATAGTAGATGCAGAAATTCCCATTTTTATAGGCGTACGTGACTTGGGGTCAACTTTAGAGGTGTTACTGTCTGCGGCTGATCTCTCCAGGGAGCCACCACTGGATGTGCCTTCCTCACACTCGCCGCTGGTCGGGCTGCTGGGGTTAGGTTCAACTGGAGGTGCCTCTACATTTCTCTCTAGATTGGTTTCTACAGTGGTGTCCCCTGACTGTGGCTGTGGGGTGGCAGTGACCATACTTTTATCCCCTTCCCCCTGGTCCCCTGACTTCCCTTCAGAAGTATGCTCACCAATCTGGAAAAATTGGAGCCTCTCTTCAACAAAATCCCTCTTGCTCATGTCAATTGCACCACTGCGAGTCATCTCAAACATTTTTCCTTCATGGAATGGGAAAGGGTTAGGCTCACTAGTTGGGGTACTTTCATCAGTTGGCGTTCTGGCTGGCGTAGTGTCAGGGGTTGTTGCTGGAGAGCGGTCTTCCACCGCCAGACCAAATGGCTTAGTTTCATCTTCCCGTGATTTACCATCAAAAACTTCATCATCCCCTCGGTTATTAGACCAAGGGTCAAAATCTAGACCTTTGGTAGCTACTGTTTTGAAAGGAGTGGCAAATTCTTCATCTACTTTGTAACTGAAATAAGTATCAGGAAACACTGATCTGTCAGGATGTCGGCCTTCCAGTGTGAAAAACTGGGCCCCCGACTTCTGATCAGTCTTATCAGGAGTCCTTTCAGATGAAGAACTTTTGGAGGATGGCTTATCTTCATCTGGTCCCACCTTTCCCTCCTCCTCAATAACTTCAAGTTTGCTTTGGCTAAAAGAGCGATCTGCTGGCTTCAGAATGCCCTCTGTGTTCCAGACATCTTTTTTGATTTCCATAGTTTGACTTGGGAGTTTCGAATCACTCTCTGTCAGACCGTCATCTTCATCTTGCAGATCATAGCCATCCAGAGAGTCAATCTCTGTGGCATCTGTGTCATGAGAAAACTCTGCCGTGGTGGCAATAGAGCACTCAGTAATGGACTGGTCATTGTTCCCATTCTGGGCAGTTTCATTCTGAGGCGAGTCAAGGCCAAGGCCAAATTCATTATCTTTTCCAGATCCGTTACTTTCCAGTTCTTTCTGGTTGGAAGCCTTTTCAGCAGAAGCTTTGGATTTTGTCACTTCCTTTTGTTCATCATCTACTTCCTTTAATTTGAAAGTATATTTTTTAACAGGGACAGGCTGATAAATAGATTCATCATCACTTGAGTCAGTGGCATCTGCCCCGGGAGGAACTGGTGAGGGTGGCTGCACTCTGATGACTGGTTCAGCCAGCTGGTATTTTTCATGCTCATCTTGCAGATTGACTTCAATCATGTCAACCTCCCTTTCGGGAAGATAATGCTTCTTATCTGACTCGATCTGGTCCGCATCCAGCGGTGGAGGAGGGGGGAATTCAATATAGGCAACTCTGTTATTTTTGGGTCTTGGGCTAGAGTCTCTGCTCACATCTTTAGGTATTTCACGCTCGACCACTGTTTCTTCCACCGTAGTGGGCTTCAGGGAGGTTGATTTGGCCTGCTCCTCCTCCTCTGATTCCTCAGAAACCTCCGGAATTGGGCTAGGTTTGCCTGGTATATAAGCTATTAGTGAGTCTGGGGTCTTAGACGTAAACTCATAACTTACTTCCTCTGAACTGGGTGTTTCTGGGGTTAAAGGGCTTTTCCCAGAGCTATCTAGAAAGGACACTTGCTCTAGAGTATCATCTTCTGGACTACCTTGGGGAGAAGGAGGCTGCTTTTGCTGTCTGGTTGTATAAAAGGTCCCTCTGGTTTCTTGGACTGTCTTACATTCCTGACTTATGATTTTTTTTACACCCCCCTGTTGTATCTCCTTTTCATATTGCTTCCCCACTTGTACAAAACTGACATAAACAGGTAAAGTTTTTATCTCTTTCCCTCCCTCTGTCTGGGCTAGTGGTGCAAGTTTTTCCAATACATCAATGGGACTGTGGTCAAATACATCACTAGATGGAGATTCCTTTCCTGGGCTAAACTCTAAAGAATCAGGAGATTTGGTGGGGGAAGTCTCAGTTTCATCAAGAGGCGGGCATAAGCCTACGTAACTCTGATGTTTGGAAACCTTGCTGATTTCTGAATAGGTAACTTTTTCATCTTCTACAGAATTAAAGTGCTGTGTCTCAACTGTCTCTTTACTCATAGTTGACTGGGACACTTTTTGTGATAGTTCATGTTTTGGAAATGTCGACTGCTCACAAAACCCATCAGGAATATTAGGAGACAGCACTCTCCTCTCATCAGCCACTCTGACTGGAATGTGTGACATTGCTGAGCTCTCGCTTCTCCTGGGAGGTTGATCGAAAGCTCCACCTGGACGTTCCCCTTCTTTAACAACATACTCCCTGTATAAAACTTTCTTGGAGGGAGATTTTACAGTCATTTCTTTAATTTCTGAGAGAGAGCCATTTGTTAACAATTTGTGTTCTCTCTCAGTCACAGACAGACATTCATTCTTTTGATCAACACTTTTACTCTCGGGGTGACCAATGTGATTCTCTCTTACATCATGAACAAGTACATGTGAAAGTTTTTCTTTCTGTGACTTATTGTTAGTGGCTCCAGAACTTTCCCATGTTCTAAAGACCTTTTTGTCCCATGGTCCCTTGGTTGCTAAATCTGAGGTTACATGACATGCCAAGTCTTTAGCCTGTTCCTCAGAAAAATAGTCAGGCATTGCTTTACTTGACATTTCAGTTCTCTGTTTTTTCACGTCATCAGAGCCAGAATCATTTACAACAATCTCGTTGCTTTGGACATGCTCATCTTTAGCTTTTAGGACCATCAAATCTTTTTGGACAGACACGCTTTCCTCTGAGAGGTCTACGGCCTTCTGCTGTTTTTCTCTAACAAACACTTGGTAGACAGGTAGCTTGCTCTCCTGTACTTTTTTAACTGGGATTCTGGATTGGCCATCTGGCTTTTTGTCTTCTTGAGATATGTCCTTACTTTTTGCATGTGTACCTTGTTCAAATTTTAATCTAATGGAACTGAGTTTAGATTGTTTGAGTTGAAATCCAGACTGGGGCCCTTCTGGTGCTTTGCTCTGTGGGACACTTCCTTTGGCCTCCACGGTGGACTTGCCATCTTCACTCTGTTCAGACACAACTCTCTTCTCCGGGCTGCTGGGCAAACTGGATGCTGTCCTCTCATCGGCCTTGGGGGAGCCTTGTCCGTCACGGCCATGCTGCCTTGCCTTAACCCACTCATCATTGGATGCTAACAGTTCTGTTAGTACTTTCTCAGGGCTGCTACTGGTAGAGCTTTGAGAAGAGCATTCTTTGCCATTTTTGGGGCGTGGCTTTTTCTCTGGGGACTGCAGTTCATCATTTAGTTTCTCAGTTTTGTCACGAAAAAACTGTGATACTTCTGTCAGCTTTTCTTCAGCCTCCTTTACAGTCCTGTCCACCCTATCTTCATATATCAACTTTTCTCTACCTCTGTCTAATCTGTCCTCAGTAAAGCGCATCCACATAGCATGTTTTGGACTACTAACATCGCCAGAATAGTGCAATACTGTCACTTTATCAAAATGCTCATCTTTAGACACTTTACCTACACCATTTTCAGACACATCTTTATAGATTTTGGAGAGTATTTCTTTTTTGGGGGCAGTGGCTACTTTTTCTCTGGACCGCTTATCAGACCCCTGTAACTCTGAGCTAGGGGTTCCTGCATGGTCTGTAACCGATTCCTCAGTATCAGAATGAGACACATCTAGCTTTTCTGACAGAAGCATTTTCTCAGCAAACCTGTAAGACTCCCCTCTTAGCTCTGACAACTCATCATCATGGTATTCTACGGAGTGTTGACTCAAAAGCTTCAATGTTTTATAGGAGTCATCGGATACGAGTTGAGCAGAACTAGGGCGGCTATCTTCTTCTTGGGACACAGGAGTGTTTACTCTGGAAGACTCCAGATAAGAAGGCAATGACTCTTCCGCAGTAAGTTCTTCTTCTTCTTGCTGACCCTGTTCCTCTGGACAAGGAAAAGCATCGTGTTTTTCTGGTAGAAAATCTTTTAGGTTAATATCTCCCCGGGATAAGTCTTTCTGATATACATACATTTCCTTTTCTGGATGCTTTTTGGTTTCTCTAATAATGACTTCAGTGGGCTCAGCTTGGTTACCTTTTTCGATGTGGACTTCTATTATACGCTCCAGTTTGGGTTTCATTTGGTTGTCCTTCTCTGCATGCTGGGCTGACGTTTCAGCAGCAGACTTGTGAACATCTGGAGACACTGACGACTTATGTTCAAATAGCCCTGCCAGTTCTTTGGAAGGATCCCGCCCGGACTGAAAAGCCTTCATGATGTCGTGGACTGACATGGTTTCTTCAATTCTTTCAGAGGCACCTTCACTGCCTGGTGGGGAATGATAAACCATTCTGGTGGTTGTGGTTATGTGAGTCTCCTCTTTCACACGCATGCCTTTGCTCAAAACCCGACTGTGGTCATCTTCTTCACTGCTGGCTTTCATTTGAAATGCCTTCACTTTTTCTTTAATACTAGAGGTGGTAGGCTTTGGTTCTAATTCCATAAATGTAGGGGAAGGTTTGGGTGACACTAGTTCCTCTGGTTGGGACTGGGGAACATCCCCAGAGGAGGGCTCATAGCTCCTGATGACATGAACTACTTCAGTTCTTGTTTCCGTAATGACAGGAGGGATGGGGACTTCATGAAAAAGTGGCTTGGGACCAGTGCTTTCAGCACTTTGTGGGGCTGAAGGTGTTTTTTCACTTCTTGTTTCAAAGCCACTGTCCGACAAGGGACTTTTATCTTGGTCATGTTGAGAAAAGTCATCTGGAGACTCTAAAATAGTATCTGTTCCAAAAAAGGAGTCAGCCATTTTACATAATTCCTTCTCAGAGGTGGAGGGCCTCATGGAGGCTGGCGGCATTTTGAGTTTGTGTTCCTGCAAAGCAATTCCTGGTTTTAAAATTCTTTTCTGTCTCTCCTCACCATCCTTCTTTGCATCCTCAAACTTATACTTTAAATTTGTCAGTGAACTACTCCCAATATCATTTGTTAGGTAATCAATAACTTTGGTCAAGTTATAATCCTTCTCAGAGGCAGCCTTTGCTTTCACTTGCACTCTTTCTGACAGAGATGGAGAATGGCTCGCAGCAGCCTGTTGTCTTGCTTCTCTTATTTCTTCAGAACTAAATTCTATCCAGTCATCTTCAGGAGAGTGTCCCTTGTCACTCTTTGGTGATTTGGGTGATCCTTTGTTATCTACACATACATCTTTTTTAAGGATTTCACTAACTTTCACTAAGTCTTCTTTGACTTTTTCAACAATTTTGAAGGGTTCTTCATCATCAATTCTCCCTTCCTTGGGGAGTTCAGGTTGGAATGGCTTCTCCTCTGGCACATCTGTCTGTAGTATTGCGGTCATCCGCATTAGGTCCTCCTTCATTTCAGCCACATCTTTTAGTATCTCCTGACTAGAAGATAAAGAAGATGGTGTAGACAGCTTAAGGGCAGAAGGTGCAAGGAACAAAGATGTCTTAACTGGAGATGCAGTCCGATTGAAATGGGGCTGGGGGCGTGTCTCCGTAGTCAATGTTTTAATGGGCGACAGCAAGGCTGCTGCTGATTTTGTAAGTGAATTAGAGTCTGGAAGTTTCTTTAATGCTGGTTCTGGCAAAACATTGACTACAGAGTAGACTGGCACTGTTATTATTGATGAAGTTACAGATGAGGTAGTTGCAGATATTGATGACCCAAGAGATGTGTAGAGTGCACTTGCGGAAGGAGTTCTTAGAGACTGAAAAGCTGATGGTGCTGCAGAAACATATGACCTGAGTGGGGAAAAGGGCATTGCTGTTGTGGTAGAAAACACTTTCTCAGCTGTGTCAGTGGCTGCATTCACCACAGAGCTTACAGAGTTTGTAGCTGTAGAAATTTTGTCCTGTAACGTGGCAGTGGCTTTGCATCCATTAATTAAAGTTGAAGATGATGGATATTTCAAAGGAGAAATAGATCCATTGACTAACGCTACCTCTGCATGTCCAGACATCTGCTTCAAGGGTGATGAGAGAGATGATGCCATCGTAACTTTAGCTGAAGAAATGACATCAACTGCTGATTTAGCTGGAGACACCACTGACTTTAAAGGTGAAGATATTAGTGGTGCCGCTGATGTAATAATTGACTTAAATGGTAAACTTGAGGAATACATATTAATGTTTGATTTGGGGGAGGCAGGGGGTGTCATAGTAATTGATGACCTCTCCAAAAGAGACCCTGCTGTAGTCACAGGAGAGCTTCGAGAGGAAAACGTAGAACTGGATGCCAACCCCTTTAAGGGCATAGCCTCCGTGACTGCCGGAGCTCTAACCAGGGTACCAGAGGCAACTTGCATATTATATGGAGACTGTGACACCACCGTTTTTATTGGCGAAGACATTGTCCGAAATGATCTAATTGGAGACGCCACGTCATTAACAGATTTAACTGAAGATGTCGTTGATGCGCCTAACGTGGATTTGATTGGAGAAGGAGTTGAAACGGACCATATTGATTTTAATGGAGAAGCGGATGGCGTATTAGAGGAAGAACTTGATAAGGAAGTGAAGCCTGACTTGGTTGGCCCGGGCACTGTATTCGGAGTTGTTGTCCAGGACTGGTAAGGTCTTGTAGAAAAGAATGGCTTGTATGAGTAAGTGGTGGGGAGGGATCTTGTTGCTCCTGCACTCCGTTCAACTGTTTCTTAAATTTTAAAATGAAATCAAACACAAAAATCAACAAAAATGGTTGAGAAACAGAGAGACCAGAGAAAAAAATTGGTCAGTAAACTTTGAAATATTACAAAAGCAAGTACAATTGTTTGCATGATTTAGAAGGGATGAGGCAAAAGGAACAATTAACTAAAAGAGGAAAAATTAATTTCTACAGACAGAACTAATTCAAAGTTAAAAAAAAAAAAACAACAACTAAAGAAATAAAAAACAGCAATGTGAAATGAAAGACGGGAAAAGCACATCGCAACCAAATAGGCCAACAATGAAAAAACAGAAAACATGAGGAAAGAATTAATGATGAGAAAAATAACCACAATGGAACACTGTTCCCTTACTTCCTATTGACTTTCTTATGTGCTGGTTTTGAAATAGCAGTAGCCGTTCCGTTTTGCCTGTATAGGTATGTTTGTTTTGTGCAACCATATGACTCTTGTTTTAATAATTTCTAATATTCCCTCTCCTAGAGCCTTTCCATGTTACAGATTGCACCTATTTAGAAGCATTTCAATGTGTCAATCTATGCATTAAATTTCTGAAACTCTTTTTTAGAAAACCAGTCAAGCCTATTTCATGCAGAATCCAAAATAACTATTAAAGAGACAGGCATCTGATGTGCAAACTGTGAAGCCACTGGATTTTAAATCTGTATCTTCCATGCACAATTCGGTTACGCTTTACACCCATAAAAAGCCAATAAGAGCAAGAAATTTTCTGAGTCAGAATTTTAAACAAAAAAACAAAAACAAAGAAAAGGAATGTTTGCATTTATCTTTTCATGCAGTATATTCCTTTTGATGAGAGGAAAAAAGAAAATGTAATATGAAATGATTTAAAAATGCATGTATACACATACGAAGGGGAAAAAAAACTAGAAAATATGGTTCATGGTTACCATAAGCAAGCAAAGCAACTGAAAACATTTTATCATGCGCAATATATCATGGCAAACAAGCCAATGAAGTAATAAAATTTGTATGCCATATTATGCACAAAATATAACCTTCAAAAATACTTTCATGAGAGTATTAAGAAAGAAGAGTACACTTTTTCCATGAGATGTGAAGCCTTGGTACCTTTTGAGATTTTAGGAAAATAAAATCCTCACATTATAAAATACATCGGTAACTAAATATATCCAAGTCTGTAGCAGTCTAAATTATGCATAAACGCACATACATTATCTCAGTTTTTTCACAATCTATTCTACTTTTAATTCTCAAAAGGTATCATGGGAAAATCTAAAGCAGTCATATTTTTAATACCCCACATTTAAGTACCTGCAGTGAAATATGGTACATAGGTATATACATATATGCTTATCAATTACAAAGGTATGGATTCTGGTGCCTTTCCAGAATATTCATGGGTAGCCCCAAACATGGGAGCAGCCATGAATCAGACCTATCACTAGGAAAGATGGAGGTAATACTAGCGTTCTTATCTCAGTGGGGCAAGAAGCACACAGATGAGGTAAGCACACTCACTAGGGACAGCAAGCACACTCTCAGTCCTCTCTACTTCTACAGTTCTAACAAACAAACCGATCTGATCACAGAGATTTGGAATGCCTGCCAAGGGCTACTGTTCAACGTCAAAGTTGTATACAGTCTCGTTCCAAAAAAGCAATGGTTCAGAACAACAGTGAACTTGAAGAGTAAATGAGAATCTGCTTCATCTTTTATGCTCCTCTTCATGCTGTGCCCGTGCCACTGCTACAATCCAGTCCTTGGATTAGCAGCTACTCCCACAAGGGTGAAGATTTTCATTCCTAGTGTACATTTAAAGTCAAATATTCAGAAAATGTTCTCTTCTAGGCTGACATATTATTCCAAAGAAAGTGGAACTATGGAAAACTCACCTATTTATTATCCTTCCTAGCCATAATTCCCAAATTATATTGTATAACTCTTTTGGGAAATGCCACATTGCAAATGAATGATGATTTGAAGGTTCTTTTCAATTGAAAGATTTGGGCTCATGTCTATGTCTTAAGAATTTACTTTTGTAACTACAAGAAACTGGTGAAGTGCCTTGTTTACTGATGAATGCTGGCTCCATCAGACTAGTATTTTGAATCATGTCTGTGGTTTTATATACTTTGCCAAGAACAACCAGCTTGCCAGTCAGTTAGTTACACATTTTATATGTTTTAATGACATACACTTTGTGATACCCTTTATGACCAAGGGAAATTCTGGATGTTAGGCAGTGAACTACACTAGAATCTTCTTGGGACACAGGGAATGGGCGTGGAAGGGCCAGAGTAAATGAGGGAAAAGTGGCCTTCGCTTGGAGTTCTAACACCAACTCAGGGGTCTTGGTATTTCCTTAGTTTCCTTTTAGTCCTTAGTTTCCTTCTTATTCCTTTCCATTTCACCACCTTTGTGTGTCTGATCATAAGAGAAAACTATTTCCTTTTATCAAAAGGATAGCAGACTGCACATATCTAAATGAAATTTTAACAAAAAAGTAGCAACACTTTCATAAGTGAGAAAAATTAAAAATTGAGCATATGCATGATCTTAAAATTCAAATATCCCTCAAAAAAACCCTAAATACCTTAAGGACCAGAATAAGATGGAAACTCACCTTCCCTGAGATGCCATGGACCTTAAGCAGCTGGTCCATCAAACCTGTCCAAAGCTTAAGAATACTGCCTGGGTCGGGGAAAGGGGTGGTGGTGACCAAAACTACCACCCAATGAGGGTCTCCAGGGCAAAATGCTATTCCAAAGAAAAACTCATATCCAGTATATTTTCACTATATTGAAAAACCAGCTAGCTACATCTACACCCTTTCCCTGCTCTCTAACACAACAGAAGTTAATTTCAGCCCCAATATTTGTGGAAGCATTTGGATCTTTCTGCTAGAGGAAAAAACTCAGAACTGAGGGAATGTTCCTGATCATGGAAGGGTTTCATTTCTTTCATACTATCCATTTTGTATCTGAATATTAGCTTTCCTAGTAGTCTGGACCTCAACCATCTAAACTAAATAGTGGAGTAGTTTCCTGCTGCCTATGTTATGTTGGTCCACAGCAACATGAATTCAGGAAAGGTAGGAAAAAACAAAATTGTGGCTCTTACTGACAAATTTCTAAACCTCCATGAACTCAAGTTAACTGTGAATCAATGCGGGGAAAGCTAGGGATGGTTGACCAATGAGAAAATGTTTTTGTATAAATTCTCTTCAAAATGAAGCTCTCTGAGGTTAAAGTGGCAACACTCTACCATTAATCAAATACATACTTACTCCCTGTGCTCTCAGTTCCCTGGGAAGAAGGGGTTATCTAGAAGGCTATGGTGACTACCATATATAATAATTACAAGGAAGAAGGAAGAGGAGGCAGAGAGAATGAATATGACTGCATCTATACCTTGCTTGCAAGCCATTTAACAAGGAACTGGAACCATCACTGAGACAAGAGGGTTTAACCAGTCTGAAGACCAGCCTTAGAACTGATATTTAATAGAGGACAGAGGGAGGGAGATGAGAGGAGGGAAGAGATAAGAAATCAGTGAAAAAGTCCTACCTCAAGAAAGTAAGAAAATATAATTCTCGCAAAATGGGAAGGAAAGAATTGGGACCAGTATACAACAATCTATCTATATTAAGAAAAATGAGATAACAACCAAAGTAACTTTGCCATTCTTTCTGTCATCCCAAAAATACAGGATTAAACATTTTCTCTTTTGAGCATAGATATAAAGTAACACTGCTATTCATCTCCTACCACAGTTAATAGTCGTCAAAGTAAAATAAATAGATGTCTCTAATTTTAAAAATAGTAAATGGTTAAAAAAAACCTCTTCTGAAGCTATGAACTAGGGGTGTTGGTACCTTGTATCTTCAATTATGTACAGAGTATTAGATTTCATGATAAGGTTTTCCTGCAGGCAATTTTTCTTAGTTATTGGTTTTCAAATGACATCAAAATTTAGTTTGTATAGAAAAAATGTCTCTTCTTATAAAAATTCACATAGATTAGTAAATATGTTAGAAAACTCACTCATTCCAGGCTCAGTCAAGTAGCTGTAGCGCTTACGTAAAGCTAAAGATGCAAAACTCTGTCGTCGATCTGCTTTCTCCGTCTGAAAAAGAAAAGAAAAAAGAGAGACTCTGTTTCCAACTTCCCTGTGACATTTTCTCAATTTTGAAACATTTTGTAGCATGGCATGTTGATATGTTTATCCTTAATTTTCTTCTTATGCATTTTCCTCTTGAACAATGTTAATTTCGTACTGGGATTTTAACACCCCATCCCGGTATCTCAACCCAGTAGCCATGATTTAGCAAATATAAGAGCACCAACACAGCAGACTACAGGGAACTACAAATAAAAGACGAGCATTACAGAGGCTGAGCAGTAAGTGTTCCCCAATTCATTCATATTGAAAGCACATACATCACAAAGTACACTCACTATGTGAGTACATTCAAGGAAAAAAGGCACACAAAGTTGATTATTCCAATTACTACTGTGGTTTCTGTATGTTAATAGGCATAAAGTATAGATGAGATTAAAAACAGGTGAATGGTTTTTATTAGCAATAATGTTACTGAGTCCTGAGGCTGCTGACTCTATGATTGATGTGTGGGTTTTAAAAATCCATTTATCATTTAATTTATAGAAACATTAGGAGGTAACTTATGAAAATTTCTCTTACAATTTAATTGAACAACTCTACTCTTTGAAAAGGACCAAGATAAATTTCTTTAGTTAGAACAGCAAATGTCTATCAAAAACCAGTGACGAAATATTTCATATTACAAAAAACACAAGCTGATTTGGTATAGTAAAACTTCATCTATTAATCATGATCTTGATTTAAAACTTGTAATAGTGTGCAGTAGGACTATAGATGGTAAAATATACATATGAGAGTTTTAAAAAATTTATACATGGCAATCTGTCCCAATCTGTCACATTTTAAAATGTTTAAATAGCTTTAGTTTTTATTTTATGATCATAAATTGGATTATAATGCTGTGGAATATATTAAAATAGTCTTTGCATACCTGGAGGAAGAGTGAACTCCTTTTTAAAAAAAGTACATTCTTTACCTCACTTAAGACCTATACAAAAATAATTTATACATTGCCCACACTTCAGCCCTCTGCAACTTCCTTTATACATACTTAACATCTATTCTACCTCCAATAGAATAAAAGCAGAAGTATTCATATTACCTCATCATCTTGATCTGACTCTGTCTCCTTTTGGTCCCAAGATGCATTGCAGAGACAAGGAATATTATAATGGACAGCAGGGAAAAGAATATCAGGATATGAAAAGGACTGAGTAGGGAGCACAAAATGCAAGCTGGTTTAGAAAGCAAAGCAAATCAAAAGAAGCCAACAAAAAATATCAAGAACTGTACATCCATGGCAAATTAATGTGTGACAGTATTTGAAAGCATAAAAAAAAAATCTATGAACTACCAGCAGAAGCGATCAACAGAGGACTCCATCATACACACTATAAAAATTTGACACCACAGTAACAAGACTCAATCTACACAAGGAGACTAATAAAACTTGAGTTTCAAGAGCTTTAATTGTGTTATAAAGCATTCCTTAAGTGCATACCAAGGGCCCAATTCTTCAAGACCAGGGAAAGTAAAAATGAACCAGTATTAAAAGATACCTTTTTATGTGCTGGCAGAGTAATATTTAAGTTGCAAACAGCTGTTTGAGGCAGTCCTTTTGTTGTCTTTGGTTCTTTCAGAAAAGATAGACGACCACAGGGCTCTTGGCTGGTGTCTCTAATCTAGAATAATTTTGGTAGGTGACAGTTACAGACTTTTCTGAGGATTCCTGTCTATATAAGATGAAACATGTTTGTTTCATGAAGCCCTTTTAGATGCAGGAAAGGTAAAGGGAAAAGATGGTAACAATTACATGTCAACCAGACTGGTCCCATTTGAACTTGGCATGACTTAGGTGCCTAGTTCCTAGCCTAAGCATTAGGATTGTCTGCTTGTCTTATCTTAATAGTTCATGAATTTTCTTCCTAACATTTTTTCAGATCTTTAGTTTTTGCAACACATAACAATAACAGCAAATAACAGTAATAAAACAACTGTCCTATCTTGTTGTCTGAAGAATGTCTCTGGGCTTCCATTTCTCCTTAGAAATGGAAACAAAACTTGAATACTGAATCTAGATTTCATTCTTTATTTGATCACTGAACTTTAGCTAGACATTTAAAAATTTTAAATCTACAATAAAATCATCTACATTTTATTGTAGATTGTTTTTACTAATTATAAAACTTCACTGGCTGGAAAGTTATACTCTGGTAAAAATAGAACAAAATCTGATCTGTTCTTATGAGTTTACATTGGTGGGGTATTTCACACTAAATAAATCATTAAGCTTTTTTTTTTCTCCCTTTTATTTATTTGTTTTGGTCCCAGGGGTTGAACCCAAAGGTGCTTAACCACTGAGTGACATCCCCAGCCCTTTTTATTTTGAGATGGGGCCTCACTAAATTGTTGAGATTGGCTTTGAACTTGCAATCCTCCTGCCTCAGCCTCCTGAGCCACTGAGCTATATTATAGGCCTGTGCCACCATGCCTGGCTGCCTTTTCTTTTTATTAGCTAAGTTTTTTTTTTTTTTCTTTAATGGAGTCTGTTAAAGATGATTTACCTTGATGGAAAATGGCAGTCTATTTTCTTTGAAAGCATAAAAGTTAAATACAAGTTGCTGTCCTCCTTTGGTCAGTGGAGCCAGATTTCCATAACAATCAACATAAATAGGTTTTCCTTCCAGAACCTTTTGAAAAAGTAAAAGAAATATAAAATATAACATTAATTTGAGTTAGGAAAATTTGATATTTTAAGTCATGTAACATTAATTAAAACTCTTACATGTGGGCTGGGGATGCTGCTCATTGGTAGACCGCTTGACTAGCTTGTGTAAGGCTCTGAATTTAATCCCCAGCATCACACAAATACACACAAAAAACGTGTCTATCACATTTGTCTCTTTATCAGGAAATATGTTGTTATTTGCCATAAAAATAATTCTGTGGGCTTACAATTCAACAATTGCTATCATTAACATGTACAAAACACAATTATGTATTTAACTTCTGCCAATTTTAAACATGCTTGACAAAGTTATGTTAGGTCACTTACTGATCTAGTTTGAATTTTTTGACTCTTGAATACTTATGTGTTTGAAAAAGGAAAATCATGGTAATGTGTATAGACAGTGACCATTAAAAAAAGAAAATTCAAGTAGCCACAGGAAAATGGAGACCATAACTTAGATTCATTAGTACTATATTCTAATTAATTGATAACCCATAGACTCTTAAAATAATTTGAGAGTGAATCTTTGGCAAAATTTTAAAATACAAAGAATGTACTTGAGATTTATAGTGCTATTATAACCTCAAAATAAAAGCCTGTATCTGGAAAATTTAATTAAATGAACTTTTTATTGTAAATAAGGTACCTCAATGTCTTTGCTTCTTGCAACTTCCTCAAAATTCTCTTGCTGCTCTAAAGTTTTGTCCACTTTGTCATCTGTCATGCAGAAGCATCGTAGGGAGGATTCTACAGGATCATTCATTTTGGCAAAAACAACAAACTTGGCCATATATGGAACACATATTAATTCTCTGTATAACTGTGTGGCTAACCCAACAGTTTCTAAAACTTGATGGCAGTCTGCAAGCCAAAATCTAAGAAAAACAAAAACAGAATTATGAAAATGAAGTGATTTAAAAGCTACATCTTTAAAAAAAATGCAAAACCCACACAATTTGAAAACTCAGGTGCTAGGAATGCAATTCAGTGGCAGAGCACATACTTAGCATGTGCAAGTCTTTGGGTTTGTTCTATAGCACCAAAATAAATAAAAACAAAGTAAATATATAAAGGAAATAAACCAAACTATTAACAACTTGTTTATTTAAATAGCAAAGGTTTTTACTGTCCTTTTCAAATGCAAAAGCTTTGTTTATTACTCATAATAACTGTGCTAAGTAAACATTAAGGATTTTCTCCCCCATTAAAACAAAACAAAACAGAACAAAACACATAGTTTTGAAAGCAACATGTTTGTTTCCCAAAAGGATATAGAACCAATTTTTTAATGCTTATTAGAATCTTTCCATACCTGGCTGAAACATTGGTTGTAAAAGAGACACAGTCCTTTATAAACGTCAAAGGAGTGGTTCCTGTGATGTCTTCCCACTGAGCAGGCGAGGTGCCCCCTGAGAAGAGCAGCAGAGATGGTGACTTTACTATCGGAGATGCAGCTTGTAAACTTCTCATCATCCTCCTGTTCTTCCTGTTACAGCAACTGGCATGATTTTGACACTTTCAATTCAGTGGTGTGTACTAAATGTAGATTTTCCTTCTCTTCTCCTTTTACACTTTTACCAGCTCATTATTATCTCCTTAAATGTTGACATATATTTTGTAATGAGGGTCTTTCTATGTTGCCCAGGCTGGTCTTGAACTCCTGCGCTCAAGTGATCTTCCCACCTCAGTCTCCTCACAAGTAGCTGTGATTCCAGGGATGTGCCACGGTGACCAGCTCCCATATTGTTAATTAAAAAAAAAAAAAAATTTTTTTTCTGTTTGTCTGGATAGCAATGGATGGTTTAAACTTGGGAAATCCACAATTTATAGTGTATTTTATAAGTGCAATGATGTGTAATTTCAGATAGATAATATATGCTTAAAAACAAAACTGTTAAGAACTATCAAGAAAGTTAAGAACCAGCTCATTTTGTACCTGGCTGAACCATTTACTTTTCCAGGGTAAATGGAAAAAATCTGTCATTAAAGTTACTCCTCAAAACCCAAAACCAAACATACTGTTAATGATCTTAGACTTGCACTTGAAGTTAAAAATCAGACTGAGATAATCAAAGGATGAATTGAGGACTGGGATTCTAGGTACTTGTCACAAAATGTGTTCTCTTAAGCCTTGTATTTATTTTATTGGATAGCACTGGTGAATGGAGTAGGTGAGAATAATTATGTACTCAACACTTCCCTACTGGTAGTGCTCTGTGGAATCTGTATTTCCCAAAAGTCTATCCAATTTCCTGGTAGCCTAAAGGGTGTTGCTAGTTCTACTTCCTCTGTTTGGGTTACTGAGAAATTACGTAGATGCTCCAATAGAATCAAGAATACCTCAGTGATCCAACAAGGGCTCTATTTCTAATGTTAACTTAATAGCAGAGAATACCCCTAAATTTTAAATGATTCATGAGACCAGCATCTTAAATTATTCCAGCAATAAGAGAGATGAGGTGATAGACAAGGGAAAAAAAGATACTGGCATGGATATTTCAAAGGTTTTATGTCTTTGTACAGACTTATTGCAAATCAATAGAAAGTATAGCAGCGACTAAGCCAAACCTGTAATGCTACAGAGAAGGCGCAGATTGGGTGTTGTGTCCCCCTTGTATCCATTAGATACACCTTCTCCTGAGGGCGGGGGCACTGGAATGGTCATTGTGATTGGTTTATGGAATTTCCTTCTTCTTGGTTCCACAGTGACAATTGGGCTAAATGTTGCTTTGTTTCCAAGGATCTTTTTCACAATTTCCTCTGGAACGGGCTGGGCCTAGACATAAAGGACCTTAAATGAAAATTCACTTTTTTTTTTTTCCATCAAGGTTACTTTTGAAGTGAGAAAGAAAAAACCAATCTGACAACAACAAACACAATATCTTTTTTTTTTTTTTTAAATCCTTTCTTGCTATTTCAAGGCATGAACTGACAAAAGAACCAAACACAGCGGCAGGAACTAGCCAGCCTGTTTCCTCAGTAGAATGCAGACAATACTGGCTTACATAAAAAGGAGAGACCCAAATCAGAGCACAGAAGCTTGTTAGTCTACTTCAAATTCCAGGACAACAAATATTTAGCTCCATATACTTTAAACCTATGCAGGACATTCCATAAAAACCTCACAAAGTCAACTTGTACTCACTTAAAAACCGAGGCTTTCAGAGGTCAGAAACAAAACAGCATTCAAAGTTTCAAAGATCTGAATGCTAGTCTACTAAGCCTACCTCATTTCTTTCGGATTCTTTGCTAATTTGGCAAAATAATTCAATACAGGAAACAGGTGAAGGAAACTTCATATGACTGAAATATAAGGTGGTCCCGGACTCCAAGTATTTACTAAAGGCATTCCCAGGACTTAAGAATACAACAAACTCCCTTGGGCAGGAGAGTCAGCCTCATAAGAAGAGCATGAACTTGCAGTTAAACTATTAATTACTATTTTATCAACACAAATTAAGTTCTTTTCAGTTCATTTTCCTTATTCAATGAGGAAAAAGGGGACTAGTTAAGGTCTAACCTAACTGAAATGAATAAATATAAGAAAGATCATTCTTGCCAAGATTTCCAGTCAGCTTTCCAAACCAAGACAAGTTCCAAATGGGTTGGAGGAAACCCAACATTTATGATTTACTTAAACCCCAAACTAAAGCTTGCAAGTTTCACTGTAACTGATTTTTATGATGTGGCATATTATAAACCAAGTTTTTGTATGTTGTTTCACATTCTCAGACCCAAGAAAAAATCATTTTTCATCAGAAACTGAGACTTTTGAACAGAAAAACTCTAAAAATATATAACCTTATTTAACCAGTTACTAAGCTAACTTTACACTTAAAGATTTTCATCTGAAATAGGTTAATGATTCCCAAAATGGCCTAATTGGCAGTATCGTTAAGGATGAGTTATGATGACCATTTTCAGAGCAAAATACTTTCACATGCTCTCTACATGTGCTGGGGAAAACAGTGCTTATAAAGAAACAGTATTTTGTGAACAGTACCTGGAGGCCCACACGAATTCTTTTTGTTAAAGCACCCTCTGGGAAAGATGCTTGGACAAGGGGTACTGTAGTGCTACTCAGAATTCCACCTTCAGGACCAATCTGGTTGCTTTCCTGCTTAATCCGTGAAACAACTGCAAAGTACTGGGGAAAATCCTTAGTGATGATCCTGCAGATGCGCTTTTTCCCTAATTCTTCTGGGCTGTCAAGTTCTGAGAAGAGAATAAATGAAAAAACCATGAGAATAAATGTAACTACAGAATACCTTGAGAGAAACTGTCAGATAATTTTTATTTTATTTTTTAAACACTAAAAATCGTACATGCCAGTGGGGTACCATATAATATTTCAATTCATATGTACATTGTGATATGTCTAAGACAGGTTAAATATACCTATCTCCTCCAACATTTATCATTTCTTTATGGTAAAAGCTTTAAAAATGTTTCTTCTAGCTTTTCAAAATGTATAGTACACTTCTGTTATTCACAGTCACCCTACTGTGTAATAGCAAACCAGAACTTTTGTTTTTTAATGAATTTATTTATTTTGGTACTGGGGATTGAACCCATGGGTGCTGTACCACTGAGATACATCCCTAGCCTTTTAAAAAATCTTTTATTTTTTGAGATAGAGTCTTGTTAAGTTGCTGAGACTGGCCTCAAACTTGTGATCCTCCTGCCTTGGCCTCCTGAGTTGCTGACACAGGAACTTCTTATTCTTCTCTGTTAACACAGTGTCCATTGATCAACCTTTTCTCAACCCTCCCCTAATCTTCCCCACCTGTAGTCACTACCATGCTATTTTCAACTTGTATGATATCAACCTTTTGAGATGCCACATAAGAGTGAGATAATGTGGTACTAGCTTATTTCACAACTTTGATGGCTAAATTGCTTTCTATTCAGTAGTAGAAACATTTTTTTTATGATAGAGAACTATAGTGACCATAATATCAAGCTTTACAAAAATATTTTAAAGGTATTGATATATGGTATTTGCAGAAAAATATTTTTCTATTGAGAAGGAACAAACATCTTTGAAAACTGGTAATAACCACATGCAGGTAAATTTCTACTCTTGAAGAGATCGCTCATTTTGTGATTATTTACAACAGGTGCCAGAAGTAGGAATCAGTCACAAAAAAAGTAAGGCCTTACATGAAAGTGAATAAGAACTTATGTATGTCTGAAAAACTCTGGAACTTCATTTGAAACTCTTTTTCAAATGTTTTTAAATTATCCAAATGATTAGTATCATCAACATCAATTTCTGTCTGCCACTGATGGGCATCGAGATCCATCCATCCACAAGTGGACACCTTTCTTTCTATTCATTTCCAAACCTGCCTCTTCCCCTGTAGGTCCAACTCTGGAAAGGGACAAACCATTTGCCCAGTCCTTCCATCTAAAACTTTTACTCACTTTTCTTTACACTTTGCATCTAATGGTCAAAGTCCAATTTTTAATATTTTGGAAATGGCTCATTCTCCTGCCCCACACGTTTTATTGTTCAGGACCTTATTTCAGCTTGTGTACACTACTCAAGCGACCTCCTAACCATCATCTCTTTTCTACTCTTTCCCCAGACTCTAGCCCATCTCCCAAAGTACAGCCATATTTTATACAGAATTCTGGTAGGTTTAGCTATAATGAATGATACTTAAACTTGAAATCAGAAAGCAAAAAATGGCTTATTTAAAAAATGTTGTTCTAAGTCCTAGTCTGTTCCACTGGGAACTGTTTGGCTCAGCAGACAGCTAGAATCCTAGGGAAAAGAGACCCTCACCAGCATCAATGGAAGGCTGCAGGGTTGAAAGGCTTGCTCAGTGTGCTTGGATAGGAGTTCATCATTAACAGCTATCATTGGCTTCTCTAAAGTTTCCTAAGGTTTACATAGCTGAATTTGTTACTTTTTAACAAAATAAAGGGAAAAACTCCCAAACCTCAGGTGATGGGGGGACTGATTTTGGTTTTGGTGTTTACTACTTCATATAATATTCTCTTCATATCTCTGATACATGCAGCACACATTCTATTGTCCCTTAACTGTTATATTTCTGCCTCCTTTATCAGATACTTTTGGCTGAGATCATGGCTAACTGCAAACTAAATTTTCTAGAAAGGCAAAAGACATGATTGGATCAATGATGTCTTCTCATTTTACAGATCAAACTCTGAACTTCAAGATAGATAAAATTAATTGTCAACTAGGAAAAAAATATAGTTTAACCCAGATAAAAAAATGGAACTGAAAGTTTGCTTTGTTTCCTATAGTATCTCCTTTTCCTCTGCAAACCTAAACACTGGAGAGATCTTAGTGAAGGAAAATAGAAGATTTAGACCAAATTATGTGCTATGCATGCATGAATATATTACAATGAATCCCATCACGTATATTATGCCAATTTTTAAAATTACCAAAAAAACGTACAAAAAGTTTAGTATAGAAAAACAGGAAGGAATCAGAGTTTGCTCAGGAGAATATTCTAGGTGCGTTTTCACCTATGCAATAATTGATAGGAAAGAGTCTTCCACATAAAGCAAATATCTTTCCCACTCCATTATTTGGCTTATGCAAGAGAGTGTATTCCCAGAATTCATACTTTCTGAGAAAGTTTTGATAATCTGTTTAAATTGCTGGGCAGCATATCATCAGCTTAAGCAAGTATTTTTTTCCTTAAGGCACCAAAATGTCATTATGCTTCCTTCAAAATGACTCTGGAATCCTTACAGTGCAAGCAGTTTAAGAAGACTGCGTGAAACTGCATCTTTCAAACAGGACAAAATTCCTAATTCTGCATATACTAAGCTGTGCATCCTGAGAATGTGAAATTTGCTCCGGACCAGTCTGGAACCACTGGGGAAGTGAAGCATCCTTTGGGTGGACTGGCAGTATTGTGCACTTCTTGGCTGTGTGTGTGTTGTGGATATGGGTGCATATATTTGTGAAGAGTTAAGACAGAAATAGCTATATTGCTTCTAGAAACTATAATAGCAATGCACTTGGAAGGACTACCAGTTTGGATAATGAAAGCAGCCTGGCCACATCTCACACTGTGTCACCATTGACATTAAGATATTAAAGACCCCCAAGTCTAAAGTGAGCACATACATTTCAGATGCTATGGGTGAGTGGTCAATGGAGCAGGTAATTTCTAACCATATAAAACAGAGAAGTCCCAGGAAAATCTCCACACTTCACTTCTGACATCTTTTAGGATTTGCAGGGGATTGTGCCCACTCTATTTTAAAGCTTTTTAAAAGTCTTCTGTAACCATTAAAACACACATGGTAGTGGACCTCCAATGTATACATTAACAGGCATTTGGAAGATAAGCCTTGATTTAAAAGTACATCCAATGTGGAAGTTTATGGCAGTAAAGTAGGCAAGTGGGAACAATAAGGGCCCCCATGCACTTTTCCTGAAATAGGATCGTACATATGGCCTTTTTTAATACTCATATTTCCTGGCCTCAGACTGATGAAATGGAGAACAATATCTTCTCTGGTTCCTTTAAACCAGGTTATATTCTGTTTGTGTGCTTAAAATATTGTAACTTTTCCCCTGAGAATAAACGTAAGTCTAGAAGTGTAAACAATATTAAAAAAGAATTACTTCAGTATTGGTTTATAAAAAGAGGCATAATTCCTTTAAGACTTACAGTTAAAGATGAGGCTAATAGATTCTAGGAAAGTGCATAATTTAGAAAATTAAATGATGTAGAGAGTAAATAAGTATGAGGAGGCAAGAGGTGAAGGTGAAAACCAGTTAGTAAAGTCACTACAGAATTTTCACCTGAAAGTCTGTGACATGATGTTACTGATCAGCAACAGGATAGAAATTAATTATGATATATTCATATCGTGGAATACTGTGCAGTATTAAACAGAATGAGGTAAGAGGGTCTAATTAAGGTTTTAATATGCAAATTAAAAATTGCCAAAAATATGATCTCATGAAATTGACTAATTACATCTTTACATGGTTCATGTAAAAAGGTAGGGGAAATGGAGAAGGAAGAGAAAAATTGTGAATTATAAAGAATATATACTCATGAATTATTATATGTTTAACACAAATATTAAAGATGTATAAACATAATAAATAACTAAATACAGTATAAACATTTTACTTTTTCTGGTTTTTTTTTGCTTTAACAAAAAGGAAACTGGTCAGTGGCCAGGCATGGTGGCAACACTTACCTATAAATCCCAGCAACTCAGAAGCTGAGGCGGGAGGAGTGTAAGTTCGAAGCCAGCCTTGGCAACTTAATAAGGCCCCATCTCAAAAAAAGTGGGGAAGGGGGTGAACTGATTATGTAGTTCAGTGATAGAACTTCCTGGGTTCAGTCCTGGGGATGGGGGAGGGAAAGGAAACTGAAATATGGTGACCTAAATGACCTTAGCTGAAAGTTTGAAAACAGATAACTAAAGACACAGCTGGCTGGAGAAGGCTTCAGTTGGGAATGAAGGACAGGTTCTCAACACTCAGCTACTGTGACACCCTGACTTGTGGTCATGATACCCAACATCATGGGCACATTCCCTTAAGGCTTTTGATTCTAAGGAAGTTATCAGTATGTATTATAAATTAGGGTTTATATTCATAAAATGCAAAGAAAACACACTACATTACATGCTCTTTGATGCTGAGGACTCTGTCTCTGGTAGGTGCTCAGCTGGTATCCAGTGAAGAAAGAAATCAACTGGGAATTAGTAAGATTCAGTGTAATTCCTTAAGTTGTACTCTGCAATATATGTCATAGCAGAAACTGGTTGGTGTTTCATAGTTTTTACAAAAGACTGTGCATGAAAAAGTGGATCTAATCTTTCTACTTTTCAGTCTACAGTGAAGTTTATTATGTCTCTGTGTTTACAATTCAAATTAATGAATGTTCTCAATGAATTAAAAATTAATGAGAATATAAATTCCTCTGAAAATTTTGTGTTGCAAACATAAAAAGTATTTCAGAGAAGTCATATTTTCAGACAAATAGCAATGAAGTCTGATAATCTAAAAGTGAACAATGCCTGTATTCTTTCTAGGATTGAATTTTTTTGTATTGAGATATTTAAATAGTCTGTTACTTAGGTCAGAGAAGCAGAAATATATTACCAAGAATCTTTGTTTTGCTCTCATCCTTTACACACAGAGAAAAGCTTAACAAAATAATCTGTAGCTTAATGTGACACTTGTATCATATTCACAC